GATTTTCCCTTATGCTGTAGAAACTTAAACACTAATATTATAAATCAAACACTCTACATTCCTTTTGAAGGATACAGATATTTTATTTTAAAAACCAAGATCAATTAACAAGTTAAACGGCAATCACTTACTGTTATTTCTATTTTTATATCAAAGATATAATTAGATTTCTTATTTCAAATACAAATTGTTACCTTCCTTCTGGCTTTTTGACACATCTGCGCATTATGAAGCAAAAGTTATTCCATTTATTGTAAGTTTTGAATACCACATTGTATTCAAAATTATGGCTCTATCTCCACCAAAAGACTTGAGATATAGCTGATTATAGGGCTTGGTCGGAGAAAATATAAGATGAACTCATAACATTTTGTGATGCCAGGTATTAAGGAAGTACTCAAAAATAAAGTGATGGGTCACCTGTCTGACTAAGTTGGTAGAGCATTTAACTCCTGATCTGTGGGTCATGAGTTCCAGCCCCATTCTAAGTGTAGAAATTAATTTTAAAAAATGATGGAAGCATATTGAAAAGGCATCATAAGCAACCTAAAAGATCACCCATTGATAAACCTATAAGAATTTGCAGAAAATGATATATAGAATATTTTTGGATAAGAATACATAGTATAAAACAAAACATCATTGAGTCCGTACTGATAAAAATATGTGAAAAGAATCAACAAAATAGAAAATCATCATTAAAAAAATCACAGTAGGGGTGCCTGCGTGGCTCAGTGGCTGAATGTGTCTGCCTTCAGCTCAGGTCATGATCTTGGGGTCCTGGGATCGAGTCCTGCATCGGGCTCCCTGCATGGAGCTTGCTTCTCCCTCTGCCTGTGTCTCTTCCTTTCTCTCTGTGTCTCTCATGAATAAATAAATAAATCACACTATTAATTATTGCAGATAAGATCTCAGATCAATATTAAAATCCATGGGCAGATTTTCGAGGAGAATCAGAATATTTGCATATCTTAAAGTATATCTCCCAAGATATGCATTAATTATTTTAAAAAATACTTATTAGTCATAGAGGAAACTAACAGAAATACCTTCTTAACCATGTGATCAGGACAGATTAACATCTTATGCTCCCTGATATATATATGATACACTGAGAAAAGATCACTTCTGTGTACTGTCAACAAAAATGCAAAACCTCAATCTAATCATGAGAAATATAATATAGACCCAGACTGAAAGACATTTTACAGAGGAACTGATCAGTATTCCTTAAAAGTGTCAAGGTCATAGGTGTCAAGGTCATAGAAGACAAGGAAAGACTAAAAAATTCTCACAGATTGGAGAGAGTAAGAAAACATGACAACCAAATGCAAATTAGGATCTCTGCAAAGACTTTAATGAGAAAGCTGGTGAAATCCAAACAGGGTCTAGAACTAGTTAATAGTGAAGTGATTAAAATAGCATTTCCCCAAAACTAAACTTAATGTAAATGATGGTAAATCAAAAATTAAAAATGAACTTGCTGAATGTTATACAATTCGATGTGATGGATCTTGAATTTTAGTGCACACTATATAACCCCTGGCCTCTTGTCTGGTGTTGGTGTCAGGATTATACTGATCTCATGATGAGGTGGGAAAGAGGCCTCATTTACTTTAGTCCAGAAGACTTCACATAAGAACAGAAAGCAGGGGGCACCTGGGTGGCTCAGTAGTGGAATGTCTACCTTGGCCCAGGGTGTCATCCGGGGGTCCTGGGATCGAGTCCCACATTGGGCTCCCTTCCTGGACCTGCTTCTCCCTCTGCCTGTGTCTCTGGCTCTCTGTGTGTGTCTCTCATGAATACATGAATAATTTTTTTTTAAAAAAAGAAAAAAAGAACAGAAAATAAGGAATCTTCTGTTTTATGAATGTTCCTTAAAAATATTTGAGGTGCTAATATTTAGGAGGGTGGATCATTTAAATCATATATTACATATTATATTATGTGTTAATCATATTTTAAGTCATGCTTTATTTCCTCTTTAGTAGCTTTGATATATTTTTGATTATCTTTAGGAATTTACCACTCTAGTTAACTAGCTAATTTTATTGACTTACTAGTGTTCATAATACGCTCTAATCGCTTAAGTCACTACATTTTCTCTAGTAGCATTTTTAAAAATAATTCTTAATATGTTTTGCTCTTTTTCTCCTTTTCTTGAATCATTTCATCATATCTATTTATTTTGTGAGTCCTTTGAAAAAACTAACTTTTGGCACTTTTATTCTCTTGTTCCTATATTTGTTTTCAACTTTATCACTTTCTGTTTTTATCGTAATTATTTACTTTTTTTTTCTTTTATGGTTATTATGTCTTTCTTTCCTAGTTCTTATGTTTAATGCTTAGCTCATTAATTTCAGCTTGTCTTTTCTTTGTATAAAAACACATAAAGTGGGGGATCCCTGGGTGGCGCAGTGGTTTGGCGTCTGCCTTTGGCCCAGGGCACGATCCTGGAGACCCAGGATCGAATCCCACGTCGGGCTCCCAGTGCATGGAGCCTGCTTCTCCCTCTGCCTGTGTCTCTGCCTCTCTCTGTGTGTGTGTGTGACTATCATAAATAAATAAAAAATTTAAAAAAAAACACATAAAGTTATAAATATTCTTCTCTAAGTAGAATTTTTTTCTATGCCTCATGTTTTAATTTCTTTTCACTGATTTTTCAATTATTTTTAGATCTCTATATTTGTATCTTACTTGAACCATCAGTTACATAGAAATTACTTTTTTTCTTTTAACTTTTCATGGATATGAGTATTTGGGAGTGATCTTTTTCATATTAACCTCTGACTTAATTGTAGCATGATCAGAGAATTTAGTTGATACAGATTTGTTAAAATGTATTCGAACATATCTAATAATTTAATTATTTATCAAATGGGATTCAGTTCTTGTAGTAAATAGGTTGACTTGGTGACGTCCTGTGATGGAAGTATAGTGAAATAGTGTTTTCAAAAGGAAGAGTCAGAGGTTGCCAGGAAAGGAGTTACGTGGAAAATCAAAATGAGAAAAACATATTGGTAAAACCTAAACCTAAAAAGAGACAGTATTGTGGACAATATTAGTTAAGAGAAAGGATAATAAGACAGAGAAGCCAATTTATGGAAGGCCAGCTTATGTATGTTTTATTTTAAGAATAATGGGACCAATCAAAGAAGTTTGAAGCTCTGAATAATTATCCATATGATCAATGTTCTGAAAAGGTAATAAAGAATATGATGAGTAGCTGTTGTGAGTAATATGTAGAATGAGTAGGAGTGGTTTTTCAATAAGCCTATATTCATCAAGGTTATTGATGAAGCCTCTGAGGCAGTCATGTGAAGGAGGTGAGTGAGAGCCATCTGAATATGCAGGTAGAGAGCCAATAGGACAGTAGCCAAGCAATGAGTTGAGAGTTGCTTTCAATAGTGTGTTGCCAAAAATAGATGGAGAGAAAGATGTAAAAACAAACAAACAAAAAACAGGCTGAAACCAACTGGGGGTTACTGGAAGCCAAGTCTTACTGCTGTCTCCTGATGAAACGACATCCCAAAGGAAACAGATAGAGGTGCCTGGGTTAGGTGGTTAGGGCTGCCCTAACAAGGTACCACGGATTGAGTGGCTTAAACTACAGAAATTTGTTTTCTCTCAGATTTTGAAGCTAAAAGTCCAAGATTGAGGCCCAAGATCAGCAGGTTTGGTTTCTTCTGAGGCCTCTGGTTGGCTTCCAGATGGCTGTCTTCTCCCTGTGTCTTCACATGTGCTCTGTGCCTGTGTCCAGAACTCCTCTTCTTGTAAGGACACCAGCCATATTGGATTAGAGCCCACCCTAATGATCCCCTTTAACCTTAATTATCTCCTTATAGACCCTCTCTCCTAATGCAGCCACATTCTGTGGTACTGAATGGGGGATCGAACATCGATATGTGCATTTTGAGGAGCACAGCCTCCAAACACTTACCATAATACTGTAACAGCACCATTTTCTCGAATCTGGTAAATTCCATTGTGATTATAAGAGGGTAGTGGGAAAAGACTTTTACGTGAGGGAAATACCACATGGAAAACAGAGAGAGATTTAGGAAATTGAGATTTAGACAGGAAAACTTTGAAAAGTCCAGTTTGGTGAAAATCTTTCATAGAAGTGACTAAAGGAAAATACACTGAGAAAGATCCACTCAAGAAAGAGCATAACTGGATAAGAGGTCTGGGCTTTCTTGTGTCTATTCAGGAGAATTCTGTGAGGTTTAGGAGCATGCAGGTGCTCCAGTCAGAAGTGTGCTTCAGGTCGATTAATCTGTCCGTAATATGTAGTTTATGGTCAGATGCTAGAACATAAATCTCACTAGGAGAAGAGGTTGGTTCCCACTGGAAGCACAAGTAGGTGAGCTGGGGGCTTAGATAAATTCCTGTTTTGCACTGGAATAGAGGGGAGTTTGTCAGAATTGACACTGTGAACGGCCTCTTTGTATTTCTCCCACAGACCATCCTTTGTTTCTCCTGCCACAAAGAGAAAGAGGATTCCTCCCTACTAACAGCTGATTCCACAGAATTTTGTGACATTTGGTCCTTTAGCAGAAATAACCTAACAATAGTCAATAACTGAATACAACAGAGGGAAAAACAATTAAATATAAATATTCCCTGTATATTCTGGGATTCATGGTGATTGTATAAACACGGGTACCTCTCTGCAGTCAAAGCTGATCTCTAGTATTTATTTGTACAAAAAAAAAAAAAAAGACAATGTGCTCATTTTCAAGCCAGAATTGTTAACACTTTTAGAGGCTGGTACTCACTATTTGTAATATGCACAGGCCCAAGCCCTCAAATTCCACTTTTTACATTTCTAGACCTTAATTTAGTCTTATCTGAATCATGTGTATTCAACTCATTAATCAGTCAACATTGGTGTAGAGTTCAAGATTTATAATATTTTCTCATACATAATTCACTTTGAATATTCTATTGAGAAATCTCTATCTCTCTCTATCTTTCTCCCTTTTCTATATTTTTTGCAGACACCATCCACCTTCGTGTTCTTGAGTCTTCCCCAGTTGGCACAGCCATTGGGAGCGTAAAAGCAACTGATGCTGACACTGGGAAAAATGCAGAAGTTGAATATCGAATCATTGATGGTGATGGGACTGATATGTTTGACATCATAACTGAGAAGGACACACAGGAAGGCATCATAACTGTGAAAAAGGTGCGCGGCATCGGTATAAATTCAGCAAATAAAAATTTCCTTACGTGCTATCCGCTCATGCATTAACCATTGAGAGACATCACTGTCAGTCCAAATGCGATTTATATTGTGCACAAGTATGAGAAACATCAGGCCAAAGATCTCCTCAGACATTTCGACCAAATTCTTTTGATTGAAACATGAAACCCGAGGTCTTAGAAAATTCAAAAGGCGAATTAATATACGTGTGACTCTATTTCTGAACCAGATTATTAACCCTCTCCCAAAATAACATTGTTTTCTTAGGAAAAAGCAGTTAATAGCTAATAATGGCAATATATCATCACAGTTGGAGGCATAAAAAGTAGCATGGCATCTATCCAGATGTATGAAGCAATAATTAGAGTTGCTAATAAAAAGAGCATATTTTGGAAGATAATTTAATTGTTCACAATTTCCCTTCTGCTACGTAAATTAAACTTTTCTGCTAACATATGCTCAGTGATACAGTTTAAAGGTAACTCATTTTTTTTCCTTGTAGTCAGTACCACCATTATAATAAAAAAAAAATCAAGGCCCAATAAAACTTAGATCCTAATGACATGTCCTAAAAACATGAAGTAACCACTGAAGCACTGAGTAATCACAAAACTATCCAGAGATGCTGTTGCAAAGGCCAAGGTACCCAACAAATGTTTTTAAATGGACAGTGACCAGTAAAGGAGGGAGCCCCCTGCCCTTTGTGCTCTCTAGCCTCCTTCTTTGTTGTTTTTCATGACTGGAAAGTAATAGTAATGCAAATGGAATCTACACCTTATCAGATGAAAAAGGAAGGTGGAAGGAATATGATTCAACAATGTCTTTTTTTTCCCTGTTAACAAAACATACCTTTGAGGAGTGGGAAGGGAGGAGCTTGACTTTACACTTGTTGATGGTCAAACTACATCGATGTTTACGTTTTCCTTTTTTCTTTCATAATGTAACCCAATGACTAATTTGCTATCAGAGTTTTTCTCTGTGCTCTTTACTCAAAGTCTTTCTTATCTTTTTATTTTTATTTTTATTTATTTATTATTATTATTTTTAAAGTCTTTCTTATCTTGCGTGTTTCATACAACTATCGAAAGTTCTCCTAGTCTTCGAAATGTTGTAAAGTTAAGGTAGTCCCACACCATTAAACTGAATGGACAGGACCACAGCATAAATGTAAAAATATGACCGGATTAGTTGCTTACAAACATGAAGTAGTTGCCAGCACTTCCGCACACACCCAGGCACACATAAGCACACAATCCCTCAACCCATTTTTTTTAATGAGTCACCACATTATATATATATATATATATATATATATATATATATATATATATATATATATTTTATGATAGTCACAGAGAGAGAGAGAGAGAGGCAGAGACACAGGCAGAGGGAGAAGCAGGCTCCATGCACTGGGAGCCTGATGTGGGATTCGATCCCGGGTCTCCAGGATCGCGCCCTGGGCCAAAGGCAGGCGCCAAAGAGTCACCACATTATAAGCTAGGTTTTAAGACCCTTTCTAATTTGTCCAAGATGTAAAAATCTAATCTTCCTGTGTTCTGAAGTATTACACATTGAGAACCTGAAAAGTAAAAATTGAACCCTGGTAGGTAAAGGTTATCTTATTATTTTTGATTCCTTTTAATTGTTTACACTTAATGAACAACTTAATAGAACTCAAAGGGGCTTTAAAAATCCCACTGTAACTTGAAAGGGACTTATAATCCAATTTCCCTCACTCTAATTTGATGATTTATTTACTTATACAGCCACTTGACTATGAAAGCCGAAGACTTTATACTCTGAAGGTTGAAGCAGAAAACACCCATGTGGATCCACGTTTTTATTACCTGGGACCATTTAAAGACACGACGATCGTAAAAATATCTGTAGAAGATGTGGATGAACCACCTGTTTTTAGCAGATCCTCCTACCTGTTTGAAGTTCATGAAGATATTGAAGTGGGCACGATCATTGGTACTGTGATGGCAAGGGACCCAGATTCTACTTCTAGCCCCATTAGGTAATTATGCCTATGTTTGAGATGAAAGAAAGGGAATTTTAAAATAAATAGAGAGATCGTGAACATCTATTTATAGCATTTAATGCATTGAGATGTAGGAGTCTCTCTGTAAGGGGTACATAAATCTGATGAGCGCAAGTGTTTAGATTGTTTCTGAATGTTTGAGGGCCGGGGCCTCTTAGCCTGAAACCTACCTTGTATCATCTGTCTCTTCACCATATTTGTTGTTCTGACCTGGGTACAGATGAAGGGCACTGTGGCACCTGTGCGACGATGGAACCAAGTCTCGTTATTTGGGCTTTCAGTTGTCAAACACTATGCGAAGTTGAGAGCTGTAATAGAAAGAATATAATTACAACAATGTTACAGTGCAGTTATGTCACATTTTGGAAACTCCTTTAGACTACCACCAAAGAAGGGGAGGGGTTTTTTTTTTTTTTTGGCTTTATCCAAAAATACTTTTTTTAAAAAAACTAAAGCATTATAGAAAGATCAGAGTAATTTCAATTCCCCCCCCTTTTTTTTTGCTTCGCTTTGCTCTCTTAGGGCAGCCTAAAAACATAGGAGATGTAATAAATGCATACAAATGAGAGAGATTCAAAAGTTGTTTTTTTTTAAGTTTTTTATTGGCATTTGTTCTGTCCTTTTTAAAGTAATACAGATATTTATATTATACAGATATATAATATTGATTATCAAACTGACTATTCATTTTAAACCGTTAGTACATCGTGAGTTTTGGATTTCATTCACTTCCCTATTCTCAACAGGTCCATTTTCTCCCCCTTGCTCCCTCTGGACAAGTCAAGTAAGCATTTAAGGGATAGTCAACAATTTCCAAGCACACTCTTCTCTGATTCCGAAGTATACAACAGCAAAATGTCGAGAATCTCTAATTTTATATGCCATGTGACTCTGACTCTTTAAAGTTAAAAATGCTACAGGATTTGCCACATTTTCAAGTGAAGTCATATTTTATATATGAAAATTAGTATTTGATGTATATAATTTTATCTAAACATTTCTTTTTTGTTTTGTTTTTATGTTTTTTTTTTTTTAATTCCAGTGTAGTTAGCACTCAGTGTTACGTGTTTCAGGTGAACAGAACAGTGATTCGACACGTCCACATATCCCTCAGTGTTCACCAAGACAAGCTTGCTCGTAATCCCCTTCACTTCTTTCACTCATTTCCTGACCACCTCCTCTCTGGGAACCCTCTGTTTTCTGTAGTTTAGAGTCTGCTTTTTTTTTTTTTTTTTTTGGTTTATCTGTCTCTCTTTATTCTTTTCTTTGTCCATTTGTTTTGTTCTTTAAATTTGACATATGAGTGAAATCATATGGTATTTGTCTTTCTCTAACTGGCTTATTTCACTTACCATTATACGCTCTGGGTCCATCTATGTCCTTTCAGATTACCTTTTCTTATTTTCACAGAGAGCATCACAGGTTACATACATGGTAATCATGTGGAGTTCCCAGCTGCCAGCGTGACTTCCCCATAATTGCCTCTTCCTCAGTCCATTTGTCTTCATTGAAATTGCTGTATTGCTTGGGTATTTTTTTCCTTTCAAGCTTTTATATAACCAATATACATGTTTAATTTTACCTATTCAGTACTTTCCAAGCATTTTCTTGGCATAGCTCTCCTAAGTGACCTCAACAGGCTATGTTCTGTGTTACTGGTTTTAAAGTGGCTATTTTTAAATGAAATATAATATTTTTAAAAAGAGTTCCATTTAAATCCAGTGTTTTTTAAAGTGGCAATATAAAGATATTCTCCACACAATGTAATAGATTTTGCATCCTCTTATACACTGATGGTTATTATAGGTCAAAATATGCCTGTAGAATTTTTAAGCAAAAATAAAATATTTAATCAAGCCTAAGGAAAGAATCCATTTATGTATACTATATGGTAACAGAATTAATGATGTTATTGCTTATTAATAACAAAATATATGCTGTAAGAGTTTCATAGGATTGAATTTATGCTAACTTGTAGAAAATGCAATTGAATTTTTTGGATGTTAATATTGATAGGTCATACAGGTTTTATACATATATGTTTACATATATACTTATATATATAAAATCAGAAATAAAATACCTTTACTATTTATGAAATAGATAATACTGGACATATTATAAATTGTTTAGGTCATATTATGGTTGTTAATGCAATAATCAAAGGGATTTACTTAAATGTTCTGAAAATGATTTTAAAAAGGAGAATGAAAATTAGCAAAAATTATTTGCCAATAGAAAATTGGAAAACATAATTATATAATGTTTGAAAGAGAACCAGGATCTCTCTATCTTTGAGATAATTTTACATAATCCTCTAAATTTTGTCATTAGCTTTTAAACCAAGTTATAAGAAATAAAACAAAAGACACATAAAATGATTTGACAAGCCCAATAATGATTTATATGGATTTGCATATTGCAATTTCATGTCATATTTCTATAAAAATAAGGAAACTTATTTGCCAAAATGCCAAAGAATTTAATTATTCTTTTTTCCATTTAACAAATATTTGTGGATCCCCTATCAGATAGTAATGTATTTCTCAAGGAGTTCTCAGTCTATAAAGGAAGAAGATTCAGTATGAGACAAGTGCCTATCACATTTCAAAAATGATGCTTGGGTCTTTTCGGATTTGATTTCCTTTTTGTGATGTAACTCACATTTTGATGTTGAAATGAATTCCTAATACAATGTGGTAAATGATACCTTTCAATATTGTATTTAGTGATGAATGGTACAAGTACCTTAGGATGGAAGGGGATAAATAAGTTTCTACTTTAGGTAATCATGGAACACGCGGGTGGAGGAGGTAAAATTTACATTGAGTCTTTCAGTAGTAAAGGAATTTTGTCAACTTGAGACAGAATTTGTGAATTATTCCAGATACAGAGATTCAATGTTTTGCAAATGTATGTGTGAATGGTAAGATATGTGGTTTGAATGCAAAACTGCATTCATGTTGTGTTAATAGAGCTTATTATTCATGTTGTGTGGCTAGAGCTTATTAAGGAGATTTGTTAATTTCTGATCTGTTCCATTAACAACTGATTTAAAATAAAAATCTAAAATAAGCAGTCCTCCAAAGTAAAATCACATTAGCTGTACTGACAGCTTACGTTGTTCTTTTAATGCAATTTAATCAAAACCCATCATAAGGATTGTTGGTTTCAACTGAGTTTTGTAAATATCATACAGATTTGGAACATTAAAAGAGAGAAGAGTTTTAGGGCTCCTTAAATTTATTTTGTATTATTACTTACAAAACACAATTTAAAAATAATATTTCATAGAATTTTCCTTAAAATAAATGAAGGTTGTGGCTTAGGAAAATACAAGCCATTACTGAATGTTACTCTTGGACCTGTCATCTTTGTTTTGCTTTGTTAATTTTTTTTCAATATGGAGCATTAAATATAACTTGAGGATTATGCTTGCTTACTCAGGAACTATAAAGCATTTGTAAGCCACTAGGTCTGTGAAATGGCAGGTAGTGATGAGGGCTATAACTATATTAAACCTTGCCTGACAATTCCCCAAATAATCCAAATAATGAGATTTATTCCAACTAGAGCAACCTGACGGATCAACCCAGTGTTAGGCTTTAGAGTGATTCCCCCAACAAATGCCTTTAATCAATTTGCAGCATAATTTGTTGTCTATACATATGTTAAGACTTTTCTTCCCCCCCCTGAGACTTTATTTGGTACAAATGTATAAAAATTCCTATCCTAAACTTTTCTGTTTTAAAACATCTCTAGTTAATACGTATACATTTTTTTAATGGTGCATGTGTTTAACAAACTGAAGCTCCATGGGTATATGCCATGGAGTCACTAAACATCATCATACATTGGTCATCTACTACTATGATGAACTAATGTCTCCAATTTCAGCACTAAGAAAACGACTCTGCTTCGGGGAATGCTTTTTTGCATTCAATCCTTACAGTAATTCCTTAAAAGTATTTTCAACTACTAGGTCAAGTTGTTGGTAATGTAACCACCTGTAATGCCAACTATTTTGTGGAAAAGAAAAGAAAATAAAACAAAACAAACAAACAAACAAAAAACCAACAGCTTCCCAGCAGCCAGTTGAATATGGCAATAGATAGTGATTTAATAAAATGACTATTCAGGAGGTCAGCATTTTGAATGCTGAACAAAGTGCTAGCTCATGCCTTGGGAAGAGGAGGAAGGTAAAGATGTCAGGGGTGGGGGTTCTGTATGTGTGCCTGTGTGTGTGATAAATCAATGAAACAATCCTCATTCTACATCAGTACTATGTGCTTTTATGAAATTGTTATATGGTTACTGTCCGTGTGTTTGCATTACACCATTTTCTCCTGCAAACCAGTAATATTGCCATGTTTTTCTCCTTGCTTTCAATGTTCAGATTTTCCTTGGATCGTCATACCGACCTTGACAGGATCTTTAACATACATTCTGGAAATGGATCCCTTTATACATCAAAGCCACTTGACCGTGAACTATCTCAATGGCACAATCTTACTGTTATAGCTGCTGAAATCAGTAAGATGAATTTCATGTTTATAATACTTAACATGTAATTATTATTAAAAATAATTCCTTCTCATTATACACATGAACTGTAATTTTAATTTAAGTTTTTAAAAGGCTTCAGACTAATACTACTCTATATATTAACTAACTGGAATTTAAATAAGAGGGCGGGGGGTGGGGGTGAATGGGTGACGGGCACTGGGGGGGCACTTGACAGGATGAGCACTGGGTGTTATTCTGTATGTTGGTAGATTGAACACCAATAAAAAATAAATTTATTTAAAAAAAATAAAATAAAAAATAAAATAAAATAAAATCTTGAACAAAGAAAGAATAAAACATTGATTTCAAGCAAAAAAAAAAAGGCTTCTCAACACCTATACTTCAGTAGTTTCTATATATATTGAAGGATAGTTATAGGTATCCCAAATCAATATTTAATATTGACTAATAAAAATCGTCTAGAATTGGGCAGTAAAGATATCCTCTTTGGGGGAAAATACATACACTAGATTGATTACATGGGCACTATAAATTAACATCAATGCTAAATGCTGGGTGTGTACCATTTAACAACAGACATGTAGGTAGTATTATTCCTTTTTGCAGATTAGGAAACCAAGGTATTGGTGACAATAGCTAATATTAAGCACTCTGTGCCAGGTATTAGTCTAAGAATTTCATATTAATTTTCTTGCTAATATTCCTATTGACTTTATTTAACAGAGAAGGAATTAAGGCTCCAAAGGGTTTTGGTAACTTGCCCAAAGTCACAATGTCGGAAGTAGTAAAACTGAGATTTAAAGCTAGTCTTTCTATTTCTAGATCCAGTACTTAATTCAACACTTAATTTATAAAATTCCATCCCAAGGAATAACAGGCAGAACTAGGCTTCAAATCAAATCTGTCTCTAATTGCAAAGGTTACTGCCCAATCACAGGACTTGCCACATAATTTGTGGAGCCCATTATGGAATAGAAATGTCAGACCTCTTGGTAGAAAATGACTCAGACATTTAACATGGCAACCGCAGAGCCTTAAAATAAGCATGAGGCCCTCCTCACGGTGAGGCTTTGTACAATTGCACATGCCTCTGAAGCCCCTTTGTCCACGCATGCAAACCTGTCCGTGGTTTCTAATTCCTGTTCTGTGATTTACTGGTGTAAAGCAACTCTTGAACTATTTTTTAAAAGAAGCATTAATAGGGACTGAATCATGGTGCAAGACTAAGCCCATACATTCCAGACCTGAGGTGCTAGGCTGAATCGACAAACACACATCAAGGTCACCTTATTTGAAGCCACCATTCCAGCATTGGGAAAGCAGGACGATGAGGCCAGGTCACCAAAAGTCTCAGAAGGATGGAACTAAGCTGAACAGATCATTAACAACGAATTCAAAGATTTCGCTTTCTCCTTAAATCTGGCTCTAAAATACAGATTACCTCCACCACCCATACGACCCAGTTTTTTTCCAACATGAGATATAAATGGCTGTGCCTTTTAAGGCCAACCGAAGAGTTGTGTTTTTTTTTTTTTTTTTTTCGTTTTTCTTTTAAGAAAAGCTTTTATTTCTATTATCTATCTCCATATCACCACAGCTAGATATGCCCGACAGGGTCCAATCTGATCATTCCAGAATCATGGTTGTTTGTGCTCTCTGCGTGATTCAAGATCCTAATTCAAGCCTAATGAGTTAGGAATTGCATTTTCCATTTCAGATACTTTGAGAAATTTAAGTTCTAAAGCTAGTTGAAGTAATTACAATTCTGTAAAAAGCTAAGCCAATTACGTTCTTCTTTTTAAGAACTAAACCTATTTTTTGCCCTTAAGTGAAATCAATTTATGGAGTAACTGCTGGAAATGCCTACCTGCCAAGCCACAAGCAGTCAGAGGCCCATTATGTTGTTCTGGGTATTAAATGGATAAGGGAGAGAGGGAAACAGCATATAGGAAATTGTTTTTACTAGATTTTAAGCACTGGGTATGTGGTGAGCATGCATCACGCCAAGCCCTAAGCGGGGCAGAAGGATGTTTAAATGTACTTCTTACCAATGCATTTTCAAGCCCTGCCTCTAACAGTTTAATTCTACATTCCACAGCAGTATATCACATCATACGGCAAGTACCACCTCAGGTAATTATTTAGTGCATTATACCATGAAATAACTTCTCTTTTTCTTCTTCAAAAATATTTTTAAATGCCATTTGAAGAACACAAAATCTAAAATTAAGGTCACAATTGGATTGTAGAAATCCGTTGTAGAAACTAATGAGTTCCTCTCACCACATCTGAAAACTTTACTATGATCATTGCATTACATCCTGGGATCCGGAGAGCAAAGTTTATGGCCAAAGAGCTCCATTACCTATACCTAGTTCCTTGATAGTGGAAATTCTTGGCCTTTGCAGGTAGAAGAGATACATCTTTCTAAAAGGCTTGGCTTTCTAGATAGTGATTTAAGCTTTCCATTTCTTGGATATGGGTGTAGGAACGCTTTCACATGATAGGATCCCTTATTGCTGATACACTCCTGCTATTAGTAGAGTGTGCTTGGATGGCTCTGAGAGAATCAGGTGGTTAATATGCCTCCTACCGTGATGCTTCTTGCAGTGCCTTATGGTTTCACTTGTGCATAAGCTGCAGGATCTACAGTAAAAAGATTCGTGTAAGGGCTGTTGTTTGAATAGGTGACGCTAGGCCCGGTGTTTTGCAAACCCATTTATCCTTGTGGATTTAGCTTTTGATTTGAAGAGGCTTGAGTTATCTGTAAAGAAGCTGAGGAATCTTCCTCTTGTGTCAGGGAAAGGCCTGACTGCAGTTTTTTAGAACCGAAATTGTTCCGCCTCTCCCGGCTTCTGTGGCATAGTTAGAAAGTGAAGTGCTACCAACGAGAGTTATTTTTATGTCCAGACTCTACACTGAGAGAAAATATTTTGCTTAGGCCCACTAACTATATAAGGAGATGCAAAAAGCTGATTCTAGGAAATATGGAAGGATCTTACCATTCTGGAGAATCTTCCTCTCGTGTCAAGGAAAGGACTGACTGTAGTTTTTTTTAAATCTGAAATTGTTCTGCTTCCCTTGCCCTCTGTGGCATACTTAGAAAGTGAAGTGCTACCAACGAGAGTTATTTTTATGTCCAGACTCTACATTGAGAGAAAATATTTTGCTTATGTCTGCTAACTATATAAGGAGATGAAAAGCACATCCTAGGAAATATGCAAGAATCATACCATTCACACCCATAGCAACTGTGCAGCTCTAGGTAGGTCGTGGGTTCATTTGTAGGTGAACCCCATGTAGGTGAACTCTGGCTATTTGTAAATGGTTTTAGGACTAGGGGAGGTAGGAAAAGACTGGGATATAATTTTTTCTACCTTTTTTTTTCCCTTTCTCCACTTCTCCCCAAATATAGTTCTCTTCAGATCTGTATGAATGGTAGGAAAACTAATTAATGTATTTTTATTGTGCAGTAAAAGAGCATAAGCTCTCAAGTAATGTAAGAAAATGCAAAAGGTGTCACAGTGACAATAAAGATACCTCAGTAATAATAGGTGACATGTATTACGTGCTAATACATGCTAATAATTAGATAATAGTTTTTGATAGTTTTATACATTAACTTACCTAATTTTTCAAATAATGCCATAGGTTAGAAGTTCCAGTTTGATTTATATTGAGTAAATTAAGGCATTAGAGAGGTGGAGTAAATTGGCCGATGGGCACACAAGGAGTAAGTGGTGAATCTGGGAATCCAAGCATCTCTGTTCTGCTCCAGGGTCTGAACTCTTCAACCCATACTAAGAAATGAACAATAGGCCACAAACCATTAGCAAATGTGAAATCAGAATCTGGGAAAGGAACACATATGGGTGAAAAAGACTAAGAATGGAAAGGGGTGTTAAATAAAGGGTGTCTTTTAAAGTTTCTCTTGAAAAAAGGAAGGCAGAAAGTACACTTCACATGGATTTAGAATTATGTCTGCCTCCCTTCGTAGGACTTCAACCTTGTAAGCCCATTTATCCTTGTGGATTTAGTTTTTACCCTGATGAGTAATCAGTTCTTACGCAGTATTTTTAAAAGTGCTGATTTCATTATTTTAGTAACATTATAATTACATTGAGAGAAAAGAGGAGAAATAAATTCTTTTGAATAGTAATATACTCCCTATCTGTGTATAACAATACTTTTTACCCTTGTATTTGAAAATTACATGGGTAAAATTAGAAAGTCGTTAAATTTCACAAGGGTTACTGATACTATCCATAACCCATGTTAGTAAAGGCCATTTAGTAAGATTGCTATTGTCCCTCACCTCATCTGTTATTTTGTTTTGTTCTGTTTCACTTTGTTTTTAGCTAATTACCTCCTTTCTCCTTTGCTGTTGATCTTCAGTTTGATTTTGCTGAAGTCGACACAAAAATTGAACTATATCCAAAGACTCAGATTTTGATATCACAAAGGCTGATAAATATAACCTGAATTTAAGATGTCAAAACACTCTCAGATATCAATAATAGTGTCTAGAAAAACCCATCGTGGAGATACTGTAATTACGATTAATACAAGGTTGTTACCCAAGACTAAGCTAAATAGACATTTATATTTTAAATTTCCAGTTACAAATCAAAACAATTCTTAATGCATATTTTTATGTGAAAACTTTGATACAAACAAAAAATCCTGATCATTATACTATATGTTGCTATTGAGCTACTTTTGTTATATAAAATTGAGCCTGGATTGTTGACAAGGTACCAATAACAATTACTGAAACGTTCAAAGCCTTATATTTTACTGTAAATTTCCACCCAACTTGTAAAATTAGTAGCTATATACTAAAATTTCCATAAAGAGAGTTCAGAGTAGCTGTTGGAATATTTTTTGTGATTAAAGAAGTCAGAAGGATAAGTTGTAATATAACAACTACCACTTAGGAGCTAATGACCGTGGGCAAGTTAGTAGTTTATTTAAAATTATTTCTTCATCCACAAACTTAGTAAAAAAAATAATATTGTACGACAAAGATTTAATAAATATTTGTTCATTTTCTCATGTTTAGACGGTAAGGACACAAATACAATATGAACTCAATTACACTGGATTGTGCTTTTATAAAGATTTTCCAAAATAATAGTAGTTCTCTTGAGGCCAATAATAACTGAATTTATGACTACTTAATTAGGCTCTGTAGTAATTTTCTTTATTGTATTTGCTCATTATGTTGGTAGAATGAACACGATGCTTATTTTTATGTGAGCACTTAATATCCACAAGATGCTTACATAAATTAACTCTGGTACACAAATGTGTCTTCCTAAACGAATTTTTCCTTTCCCTTTTCTAGACAATCCCAAAGAGATGACTCGCGTGGCTGTTTTTGTGAGGATTTTGGATGTTAATGACAACGCCCCACAATTTGCTGTGTTCTATGACACTTTTGTATGTGAAAATGCCAGACCAGGGCAGGTGAGCACCCACAGGACTTAAAAGCTTCGGAAGATTCTAAGGGCTTATTCAATGTTTTATTTTCCCAGGCTTAAGAAGGATGAGTAAACAGAGATAAAAAATACTCCTTTAAGTCTCAGTAATATATTAAAAAAAAAAAACTGATATTTTTAGGGTTGGAAAATGTTCTAAGTGACACTATAGCAAGTTTCACATTTCTTTTGTGAAGCTCTGAAGAAAATGTAAGATGTATTGTTGCCACCAAAGTTAAGGAGTAAGAAGAAAAAACTTTCACTGTTTACATTTTTGCAAACAAAAAGAGGGGGGAAAAAACCCTCTGCTGTTTCTTTAGGTAAATATTGAGAACCCCTAGAAGAGATGGGAGATGGAATTTAGGAGAAACACAGACACAGATACATGGGATCAGCGAAATGTGGCATCAATATTCCAATGTATGTAAATGATTTCAAAGCAGGGCCTGAAGATTCACTCTTAGATTTACACTTATATTTATCATCATAGCAACACTTAGAGTGCTTAATGACTTCGTTTTCGTCCTTTGAAACCTTCTTCCTACATCAGCTTTGTTTATGACTCTTTAAGTCTTTTCCTCAGTGGACTCATTTTGTTGTTTGAAAAGCTCCAGTGTATATGGCTGAAAGAAATGCTCTTAATTGGTTTGAGTGCTATCTTCACAGAAGGAAGCTGCATGTTATAAATAATAATTGGGAATCAAATGTGTTTTATTAAAGAAAGAGGAGCCATCACAAGACTGTATTGTGTTTTGACATCACTTGATGCTCTTTATAAACATCAATGTCATTGTTACATTTTTATGCAAATTACGTTGTGGAATAACACAAATTCTTCCTTCTGAAGATTCTAACAGGAATTCAATAGCCTGTCTATTGTTTGAAATGGTGAAATTGCTGCAATTGGATTCATTTTTTTTATTCGAAAATGTTATAGAAATGTTTCATTTGGAATATTTAAATGACAATGCTACTTCCGACCTACTTCTTAATGAAACAGTGTTTGCCCTGAAAACACCATTCCAAATAGTCCTCTGCTTGGCAGGCTCAGCATGATATAAGTTGAAGGCTTTTCTCTAAGAGATAAATTACCCACTTTACAACTGCCGCATGCATTGCGTCCTCTACAGTTATTCTATTTGATTTTCAAGAGATATCTTTTCAAAGCATTTGAGTCATTTTAAATACTGACTTCTGAATGTATTCAAAATATACAAAACAAGGGATTTTTTTCTTATGCCTCTTTAAAAAAAAAACTAAATCTGGTTCAGTAACTTTATATTTTTTGGACTTAAAAAAACAGTTGGCATATTGAAGAAAAATGACAAAATCAAAGACAATTCTATTCTAAAAAGTAACCTATTTTGACAAATTGATAGGAATAACATGATTAATAATTTTCATCTAATTGGCTGAATGTGCAATAGTTTCCAATAGAAGTTATTTTTAATAAGATCAGTTTGTTCAATGTCATTTGGTCTAGAGGCGGATAAATGGTTGCTTAAACTAAACTGTTCTGCAGTGGTGGAGTTCTAGGTTACAATAGCCTAGCAGATGGTTATGTGCCAAACCAAGGTGGTTATGTGGAAAAAGACCTTCCCTTTAACTTCCTTGACATTACTGTTAACTCTGTCTCCCCTCCTTCTAAGGCAGTAAGAGCTTGTTAGGACTTTGGGGGGTACTTTGGTTATTTATAGAGTATTTCAACCCACTCAATTGTCCTCTGAATTAAGTACTGTTTAAAAGTAGCACTTTGAACAACAACATAGGAAATAATTCCATTTATTTGGTGTGTGGACAAAATGAGAAGACAGATTAAGTTAATTGCCATCTTCTCTTTCTTTTCCGCCTATTTCGTGCTCTAAGGATAGGAGACTTTCCCCCTTGGAAAAGATGCAACTTAAAATTGATGTAAATTAACAGTCCCCTCTTGTGCCCAAACTAGGCTACTTGACTCTTCATCCTTTCCATCTCAGAAAGAGTCCCTTGGGAAAGGAGAGGAGAGAAGACTGGCCGTTACACTTTTCTTTCATTTTCCCTCATGCATACCACATTCCTTCAGTCAACAAAATATATTTTAATAATTTTTAATCTTTATGGAAGGAAGTAGCACTTCAGTCTCACACATTTCCCAGAGAGTCTTCCCAGGGAGGACTGCTGCTTGTTATCTGCCCACAGGTAGTATCTAAGCTCTAGGCCTTTGTCAAACCTCAAATATCCTATTACATATTTCCACAGAACACTGTTTAGTTACTTACCTAACTACACTTTTTCCTACTGAAAAAGTGAAAACATTACAACTTGGTGACCGGTGTTCTTATTTAAATATCTTAAAATCCATGTGTCACACATTCCCCACAAAATCCCACATTCTATTATGGCATGATCACTGAAAAAGCCCTCAAGTTGATTTGATGTTATTTTAGAATAGCCTAGTAAAAATACAAACCGATTATATAATCTCTAAGGAGATGAAATATAAATGACTTATCTGTGTCTATTCTTCATATGCTCAAAATGAATACTGGACATTCTTCATATGCTCAAAATGAATATGGGACATCAAAATGAATACTGGATATCAAAAAATGTTTTTTTTCCCCATAATTGTGGCAACCTGTTTTATTGGAAATGAGTCAAAATGAACTTGTCTCCAGTCGAAATAAAATAGCTAGTGTTCATATGTAGAGACAGGGGAGATGTTTTTACCTCCTTCTTGTTGCCAACTTCTGATTTCTATTTTAACACATACTTCCATGTATAGGGTACATATACATATGGATATGGATACATCCATATATGGATATGTAAACTGTAATAACTTCTTACAGATATAGGTAATGATGTGGCCATTACGTTCTCTGAAATTGTTCTGGTTTATAAAAATAAACTGAAATTATAATTTATAATCACAATTGAAAATGCATATTTATTATGAGATAATTACATCTCCTATTTTATTTTATTTATTTTATTATTTTATTTTATTTAATTTTTAAAGATTTTATGTATTTATTTATGAGACACACACACACACACACAGAGGCAGAGACATAGGCAGAGGGAGAAGCAGGCTCCATGCAGGGAGTCCAATGTGGGACTGGATCCCGGATCCCAGGATCACTCCCTCAACCACTGAGCCACCCAGTCATCCCTCATTTCCTGTTTTCAAAAACCATTACCTCTATGTTTAAATTTCTACAATTTTGTGTCTATATGTGTGCTAACATATAAATCTTAATGGTAAAAATATATAAACATAGAAGTCTTATTAAGTCTACTATCTTTCTTGATCTTTCATTTATGTCATTTTTAACCTTCAACTTGTAAATCATTATTTAAAAATAAAATCTTTTAGACTGCTCAAAAACAAGTCAGTCGGATAATGATTTTATAACTTCATTGGTACCTCTTAAGGGTATTAATTAATACTTTTTATACAATTTTCTATTTTGTATAATTTTTGGTTTTGTATTGGCTAGATAAGCCATCAGCAATAAATCTTTGCTTTCTGTATGATCTTAAATTACCACTAAAATTTCATTAGTCAAAGTTTAAATATTTTTTTCAGTTGCTTATTCCTAGATGATAAACACTTACCTTTGTATGATCCAATATTATTTCTCGTATCATTTTGAAATAAGTGGTTAGGGTTATAATTAAATTGGGAGTAGCTAAAATTTGTCACACTCTTATTTTATAAGGTAATTTAAAAGAAAACTAAATATAGAAAAGTTAAAATTATTTCTTAATTTTTTATAATTATATAATATTTTAAATTTGAAATCTTTTATATCAACAAAATATCAAAAAAAATATTTTCATTGAATATTGACACCAGGGGTGCCTGAGTGGCTCAGTCAGTTAAGTGTCTGCCTTCAGCTCAGGTTATAATCCCAGGGTCTTGGGATAGAGTTCCTGCATTGGGTTCCCTACTCAGTAGGGAGTCTGCTTCTCCCTCTATTCCCTCCCCTCTGCTTGTGATCTCTCTCTTTCTCATGTTCTCTTTCTCTCAAATATGTAAACAAAATCTTAAAAAAAAAACCCAAATATTGACACCATGTTAAATAAGCCAATGCAGTTAAGCATATTCCTTTTAGTTAAGCATAAATTTGACCATTTATATAGGTATCAATACATAAATTTAAAAACTTCTGGGGGGATCCCTGGGTGGCGCAGCGGTTTGGCGCCTGCCTTTGGCCCAGGGCGCGATCCTGGAGACCCGGGATCGAGTCCCACATCGGGCTCCCGGTGCATGGAGCCTGCTTCTCCCTCTGCCTGTGTCTCTGCCTCTCTCTCTCTCTCTCTGTGACTATCATAAATAAATAAAAATTAAAATAATAATAATAATAAAAACTTCTGAAGCTCTCTTGTAAAATTAAGATATGCAAAACATTATGTAAAATGTTGTTATACATATAAGTTAAGGACAAAATGGATATATATGCAAATAAGTACACAACTCTATGATACATATAAATCTGTATAATATTAATCATTATGCTCAAAGAAGTGATCTGCTTATAGTAAAAGGTGTTACATTTTCTGCTTTGTTACCAGATAACTTCTTATATTGTCTCTTATCCTAAAATAAATCAGAGATGATCTTTATAAAATGACCTTTTGCCATACATATATTGAATTTAAAAACTGTAGTTTTATGGACAATGCAAATAAAGTGAACCATTATTATTAAAGGAGATCATAATGTTTAAGCCTTCCCTTTAAAAAGTTGTGCTTATCTATAAAGTCTCTCCATTCTTTGATAGTTTTCACTTTTGATAAGAAGAAAGCCATAATCACAGTATTTTTCTAAATTTTCCCTCCATTAGATAAACTTTTCCAGATCAATGTTTACATATATATGAAATAACCTAGTCTTTTCAAATGCTATATCTAAATTAATAAACTGTAAAAATATAATATTGTTACTTATGATGTTGAAGAAATGGATAATATATAGGAGATATTGAGAAGAAAGGAGAGCAAGAAACAGAGATAGAAGCAGAGAGGGAGGGAGAGAGGTAGGGACATTGTTAAAGTCAAAGTATTTTGTTTGTTTATTGAGCAGTCTAAGAGATTTTATTTTTAAATAATGATTTACAAGTTGAAGGTTAAAAATGACATAAATGAAACAACATCAAGAAAGATAGTAGACTTAATAAGACTTCTATGTTTATATATTTTTTACCATTAAGATTTATATGTTAGCACACATATAGACACAAAATTGTAGAAATTTAAACGTAGAGGTAATGGTTTTTGAAAACAGGAAATGAGGGATGACTGGGTGGCTCAGCGGTTGAGGGAGTGATCCTGGGATCCGGGATCCAGTCCCACGTCGGACTCCCTGCATGGAGCCTGCTTCTCCCTCTGTCTATGTCTCTGCCTCTGTGTGTGTGTGTGTCTCTCATAAATAAATAAATAAAATCGTTAAAAATAAAATAAAATAAAATAAAATAGGAGATGTAATTATCTCATAATAAATATGCATTTTCTTTTTTTTAAATATGCATTTTCAATTGTGATTACAAATTATAATTTCAGTTTATTTTTATAAACCAGAACAATTTCAGAGAATGTAATGGCCACATCATTACCTATATCTGTAAGAAGTTATTACAGTTTACATATCCATATATGGATGTATCCATATCCATATGTATATGTACCCTATACATGGAAGTATGTGTTAAAATAGAAATCAGAAGTTGGCAACAAGAAGGAGGTAAAAACATCTCCCCTGCCTCTACATATGAACACTAGCTATTTTATTTCTACTGGAGACAAGTTCATTTTGACTCATTTCCAATAAAACAGGTTGCCACAATTATGGGGAAAAAATGTATCAATTCAGGGGCACCTGAGTGGCTTAGTCAATTGGGAGTCTTCCTTGGGCTCAGGTCATGATCCTGGAATCCTAGGATAGAGCCTAGGTCAGGCTCCCTGCTCAGAGGGACGTCTGCTTCTGCTTTGCCCCCATCCTGCTCCTGCTCTCTCACATTCTTTTTCTCTCTTAAATAAATAAATCTTTTTTAAAAATCAAAGTAATAATAAAAGAGGTGGAACAACTCAAAGATACATGCACAAGGAGGAAAATCAACTGTTTTAAATTTAGGCAAAATTGAATCTTAAAAAATTACATATTGTAAAGCAGATTATACTCATGGAAGCCGGATACACACGCTCTTTTCTCTTTTCTGCAGCTAATACAGACTATAAGTGCAGTAGACAAGGATGACCCTTTAGGTGGACAGAAATTTTTCTTCAGTTTAGCTGCTGTCAATCCAAACTTCACAGTCCAGGATAATGAAGGTAAATTTTAGAACATCATTATGATTTAAAGTGATGTTAACAAGAGCTTTTCCCCCAAGCAACAATTACCATTTGTGTGGTGTATTAATGTATTGATCTGTGTCATAAAATGTTTTCATCAGATATTAATGAGATACTAATTTCTTGCTTGGCAGTGTTCATTCTCTTAAATTTCAAAAAAATAGATACTTGAGAGAAGTTTCAAATGTGAATACTAATGAAAAGATTGAATCTTGAAAACATTGGAAAGGCTGGAAATAATCAGACAACGGGGTAGAGAAATGAATAATTCAGTGAGCCCTTGTGCAAATTTCAGTGAGATTTAGCAGCAACAGATTCACCAAAACCAAAAATGGATGGGATATGGGTTAGAAGAAATAGAAGTATTAGCCTGTGACAGATTTAAGTGCAGAAGCAGTTGCAAGGGCAAGATACACTATCTTCCGGGCAATATGTGAATTTTATAATGTCTCTGTGATAAACAACAACAACAACAACAACAACAACATTGTATATTTCTTGCATTCTCAAAAAAGGACAAAAAATTAGAGGAAATAATTTGAAAACGGTTACTATTCTAAAAAATTTGAACAACTTAATTCTTAAAAAAATATGGTAATTATTCTAGTCTAAACAAAAGTGTGTAGTTAGAGCTCATTTCCCCTTCATAAATTTATGTTAAATTAATTATATCAGCTGATCTTCCTTAAAAAGGCATACTTGTCTTAGAGTCAGTGTAGGTATAGTTATTCTTAAATTTAATAGCTACATTGGCATATTTATAATACTTTCATAACAATGTGTATATGCTGGCAGAGCCAGATTGCTCTATGGCCTCTAAGTCACCTTCAGAATATCAGAAAGAAGGTTCAGATAATGGATAGTTTTACATTAACCCAATTGTTATTTGAAGTATTTGATATCTCAGAAACTGCACAAAACAGTGGAAGAGAGGGCATCCATTGGTAACATCTGTTTACCAAATTGTACTGTCTGAAATATCTGTTTTCATCCCCCTGAAAATCTAAGATAATCGTGATGGGAGAAATTAGCATAGAATTGGCAGATAGGATACAAGATGTCCAGTTTCACAAGAATATCAGCAAAACAACACCCATCATTTTATTTGCTGAATCTGGGATCCTAAATACAGAACTTAGATTGGACATCCCAAGTTCTGGATGGTCAATATTACGCCTCTTTCTAAGTGTATTTTAATTTGTTTTATGTTTCTATTAAACCGAGCTGTGGATCCCAACAAACCGCCTCCCAATTTTAAAAGGTAATAGAGACTTGAAGTAGTCTTATCACAGCATTTCCCATTTAGGTAAACACCTCAAAGCTAATCTTAATTATTTTTTCACAAGTGGTGCCATCTTCCTATATTCAGAAAAGTTCTTGATCTTCTATGAGTTACTCAAAGCAAGAGTTGAAGCCATATGAATATTAATCTGAACACGTCGCCATATAGAACACCACTAAAATCAGATGGCATATATGACCCACTCCTGCATAAACTCACTATTTTGTTATTGGGTGCATTTGGAAAGAAATCCCAAAGATCTAGACATCACCTTATTGCTCTTCTTGAGTAAATACCCTTGTATTTATCTATATCTTCATCTTAGCAAACTTCAATTTTATGGTAACAATTTAAAAAAAAATAATTTTCTGCTTCTGTGATACCACACTTGGAGCTTGTAATTCTTAAGATTCCCACACTTTTCCCTAACTTATAGATCAAAAGCATAATTATACGATGACTTTCTGGAATATTTAATAAAATGATTGGAATTTCTTTCATTCCTGAAGTTTAGGGTAAAACTTCATTTTATTCTTCAATATATTAAAAGCGTTGTAGGCAAAATTAAGACTTAGAACCTTTTGAAAAGTTAAAAAAGAATAAGGCAAGAAGATTCTAAATGAAAAAGAAAAGATTCTAAATATACCCATAGGCCAACACCTGTTGTTGATTTTAGTCATTCTGACAGGTGTGAGGTGATATCTCATTTAGATTTATATTTCCCTGATGATCAGTGAGCTTGAGCACCTTTTCACGTGTCTGTTGGCCATCTGTATGTTGTTTTGTTTTGTTTTTTTTTTTGAAAAATGTCTATTCTTATCTTTTGCCCATTTTTTTATCGGATTATTTGCGGTATTGTTTTGTTTTTGGGGGGAGGTTATCTGTTTCTTTGGTGTGGAGTTTTATAAATTCTTTACATATTTTTGATATTAACCCTTTATCAGATATGTCATTCGCAAATATCTTTCCCCGTTCCATAGATTGCTTTTTAGTTTTGTTGACTGTTTCCCCTCACTATACAGAAGCTTTTAACTTTGACAGTCCCAATAGTTTATCTTTGCTTTTGTTTCCCTGGCCTCAGGAGACATATCTAGAAAGAGTTACTATGACCAGTGTCAAAGAGGTTACTATCTGTGTTCACTTCTAGGATTTTGATGGTTTTTAGGTCTTACATTTAGGTCATTTAGGTCTTAAATCCATTTTGAATTTATTTTTGTACTTGGTGTAAGAAACCAGTCCAGTTTCATTCTTTTGAATGTTGCTGTCCAGTTGTCCCAACACCACTTATTGACAAGACTTGTCTTTTTCCCGTTGGATACTTTTTACTGCTCTGTTGAACATTTGTCAACCATATAGTTGTGGGGTTCAATCCTGGGTTCTCTGTTCTGTTCTATTGATCTATGTGTCTATTTTGTGCCAGTACCATACTATTTTGATGAACTACAGTTTTGTAATATAAGTTGAAGTCCAGAATTGTGATGACTCCAGCTTTGCTTTGCTCTTTCAAGGTTGCTTTATCTGTTAGAGTCTGTTGTGGTTCCAAACCAATTTTAGGATTGTTCTAGTTGTGGAAAAAAATGTCGGTGGTATTTTGACAGGTATAGTATTAAATGTGCAGATTGTTTTGGGTACTAGATTTAAGAACGACGGTTCTTCCAATGCAAGAGCATGGAGTGCCTTTACATTTCTTTGTGTCATCTTCAATTTCTTTCATTCAATGTTTTATACTTTTCAGAGTACAGGTCTTTCATCCCTTCGATTAGGTTTATTCCTAGGTATCTTATGATTTGGGAGGATTGATTCCTTAATTTCTCTTTCATTATTGGTATATAGAAATGCAACAGATGTCTGTACCTTGATTTTGTGTCCTGCAACTTCACTAAATTCTTTTATCAGCTCTAACCAGTTTTTGGTAGTCTTGAGATTTCCAAATAGTATCATGTCATCTGCCAATAGTGAAATTTTTACTTCTTCCTTGCCGATTTAGATGTCTTTTATTTCTTTTTGTTGTCTGATTACTGTGGCTAAGACTTCTGGTACTATGTTAAATAACAGTGGTGACTGAGGACATCCCTGTCTTGTTCCTGATCATAGAGGAAAAGCTGTCAGTTTTCCCCCATTGAAGATGATATTAGTTGTGGGTTTTCAGATACGGTGTCTATGAAGTTGAGGTATGTTTCCTCTAAACCTACTTTGTGGAGGGTTTTTATCATGAATGAGTATTGATGAAGATGTGGAGAAATGGGAACTCTCTTGCACTGTTGGTGGGAATGCAAACTGGTGCAGTCACTCTGGAAAACAGTATGAAGGTTCTTCAAAGTTTTAAAGAATAGAAGTATCCTATGATTTAGAAATTGCACTGCTAGGTATCTACCCAAAGAATACAGAAATACTAATTCAAAGTGATGCTCCCTGATATTTATAGCAGTATTCTCTACAATAGCCAAATTAGGGAAACAGCCCTAGTGTCCCCCAACTGATGAATGGATAAAAAATAAGTGATATATATCTATGTATATCTATGTATATCTATATCTATATCTATATATGTATATATATAAAGTGGAACATTACTCAGCTACCAAAAAAAGAAATGAAATTCTGCCATTTGCAATGACATGTGTAGAGCTACAGAGGTAAGTCAGTCAGAGAAAGACAAATACCATGTAATTTCACCCATATGTGAAATTAAAAAAAAAAAGGAGCAAAGGGAAAAAGAGAGAGAGAGAGAGGCAAACCCAGGAATAAACTCTTACCTATAGAGAACAAACTGATTGTTATCAGGGGGAGGTAGATGAGTGGGTGGGTGAAATAGGTGATGAGGATTAAGAAAGGTACTTGTGATGCACACCAGGTGTTGTAAGGAAGTGATGAATTACTAAATTCTAGACCTGAAATTAATATTATAGTCTATGTTAATGAACTAAAATTAAATAAAAACTTAAAAAAATAAAAAGTATATGCCTATATGCATATAAATACTCATTTCAGTGTAGATTTGAAAATGGAAGAATTATTGTAATACTTTTTGAAAGAGAAGTCAAATCTGCAAAATTATCAGGATTAGTTTATTTTTTAAATTTGCTTATGTACATCCTCTATTTTGCTAATCTTCTTTCCTAGCTTAATTAGGCTAATCCTAGCATAATTAACCGATGTAGTAGAAATAACATCTCACTAATAATTTAGGAAATGACTACTTTATATTCAACTACTATATCTGCAAGAAATCGTCACCCTTTATTTTCTCCTGCCCCATTTGATGTAGCCATTACCCGATTCACTCCCTTTCCTACATTAGCATTTTAAATAGGCTTACAGGATTGGCATAAGAAGACTAAGTGCATTGGAAAACAGCATAGGAATTTATCATCCAAGTACATAGTGATTTTTTAAAAAATATTGATTATAGAGCACTAGATGAAATCTTTTTTTTTTTTTATTAACTACACAACCTCCATTTAAGGATACTGGGTGAGTTATCAGAGAAAGAAAATATCTATAGTGATATACTAGGTTGTAGGATGCTTATGTTTCTTAAATCCTTATATCTGTGCATTTATGAGGTACTCTACATCAGTTTCTTCTCCTAATACTTTGAGCTATATATTGTATTCATTCTAATGGATGGAAATCAAAGTTCAGAAACATTAACTAACTTGCTGGGGTCACCTGGGTGTCTTGTTTTCACATCCCACTTTTGCTTTCAGCTCAAGGTCATGGTCTCAGAGTCATGGGATCGAGCCCTGCATCGAGCTCTGTGCTCAATGTGGAGTCTGCTTGGGATTTTCTCTCTCTCCCTTTCCCTGTGCCCCGCCCCCTGCTCACACTCTCTTTGAAATAAATAAATAAAGTATTTTAAATAAATAAATAAATAAACAAACAAACAAATAAATAAATAAATAGCTTGCTCACCATTGTTCATATATTGCGATTCTTGATGGGTTTTGAGTGCATTATTGATTTTAAAAGTGAAACTATACATAAAATTTATTCCTTCATATTTTTCTTCATGAATATTGGATTAATGTGTCTTTTATGTGTATGTGGCATGCATAAACATATATGCATATATAAACAAAAACATTTACTAGAATTTTTTTCTTGGTATGCATATTTATGGTTTCTGAAAACTCTGAGAATATGCTACTATCCTTGTGGTCTTCAGAAAATGTTCACTTATAAAAATCCACCATTTCAAAAGCTTTATCTGTGAACAAGTTGGAAATCTAGTAAATAAGCAGTGACAGTCTTAGACTCCTCAAACTATTTCATTTATCTCATTTCAGTGGATTCTTATCTTATTGTATGCATCCTATAGGAAAATCGGTATTAATTTTGTATTTTACATAAATAATTTTTAACTTGTATGTCAAAGCGTGGAGATCAGGATGAGAGAACTTTCTTGTCCCAAGCCATTGGTAATATTTTAAAATTTATTTTAGATAATACTGCCAGAATTTTAACCAGAAAAAATGGATTCAATAGACATGAAATAAGTACCTATCTCTTGCCTGTGGTGATATCAGACAATGATTACCCAATTCAGAGCAGCACAGGCACGCTGACCATCCGAGTGTGTGCTTGTGACAGCCAAGGCAACATGCAGTCCTGCAGCGCGGAAGCCCTGCTGCTCCCTGCTGGCCTCAGCACGGGGGCCCTCATCGCCATTCTCCTCTGCATCATCATTCTGCTGGGTAAGAAACTTTAAGGAAAATGTGATTATTTCCTAGATTCCTTATGTTAGTGTATTTTTAAATAAGAAATTCTATTTTTCAAATACCTTCTCTCAAGTTGACTTCAACATTTAAGATAGACATAAGTTAATGATGAGATATTGTTTATATTAAAATATTTTATGTGATCACACAGTTATTACCTTTTTTTTAAAATAATAAGACTGAAAGTTAGAGATAGCCAAAATGTTTTCCACGGTTGCACAATTGCTTAGTGGCTCATCCAAGGCAAAGTATTTTGCTATTAGTTATAGTTTTTCAGGAAATCTAAAGTTTATTTCTAGGTTTTTAATCTTATGGTGGATGGATAAAGCACTCAGTATCTTACCTTCCCAATGAAATAATGTTAAAATGGCCCTTTACCTGGTTTACTTTTCCCTACAACAATAACACTTGATTTTATAACCTAGAGCAAATTGCTTTTTAACTGCTTTTGAATGAAAACTCAGATTAAGTTTACTCCCCTGTTGCATTATCTTAAAACTATTGTGCATATTCCTATGACCCTAATCAAAAAACATTGTATCTGACATTTTAAGAAGCAGTAAAATGAACTTGGATTTTGGAGTCAATCATAGTAGGTTTCATTATCCTCATTATTGGAACATTTTTTACTGGGTAAGAACACTTAGCTGACAATAAACAATCTAAGGTTTAGAATCTTTACATCACAAGTTTATGTGTGTGCATGAAAATATGAACTAAAGCAAAATAAAATGTCATATTTTCTCCAAGGCTTGAAGAATAAGCTTTTTTTTTTTTCCCCTCACTTAGTGGTAGCCTATTTATTTTTTAGCCACTTTGAAGGTCAAGAATACTTACCAATGGATTAAAATCTTATTTTTTGCTGAATTAAAAAAAGTCTCTTGTTTGCCCTTTTACACAAGTTTGAAGGCAGATAGCCTGACTGTCCTGTTAGTAAAAGGGAAAACAAAAGTTAAGAGCCCTTCACATACTAATATAATCCTCGTAGTTCACGCTGCTGTAACTGTGCCATAGACTGGATGGCTTAAGCCACAGAAATGTATTTCTCATAATTTTGGAAGCTGGAAAGTCTAAAATCAAGGCACTGACAGATTCCAAATTTGGTGAGGACGTATTCCTAGTTTCAGGATGGCTGCCTATGTTGTATCCCCACATGGACGACCCCAATCCTCTTCCTGGTTTCTTTTCATAAAAACACTAATCCAATTCATGAGGGCTCCACCCTATGACTTAATTATGCCCTAAATACCCCACTTCCAAATACCATCACTTTGGGGATTTAGGCTTTAAACTGAATTTTAAGAGGACACATTCAGTTCATAATGATAATAAATCGCATATCCTTTAAATGTTTCTTCTGGGATCCCTGGGTGGCGCAGCGGTTTGGCGCCTGCCTTTGGCCCAGGGCGCGATCCTGGAGACCCGGGATCAAATCCCACATCAGGCTCCCGGTGCATGGAGCCTGCTTCTCCCTCTGCCTGTGTCTCTGCCTCTCTCTCTCTCTCTCTCTCTCTGTATAACTATCATAAACAACAACAACAACAAAAAAAAATGTTTCTTCTAAAAAAAAAGCTAAATAACTATAGGCATTTCATCATATATATACCTGGTGTAAAATATTTTCTGTCTCTTTCCTTGTTTAATCAAATGCACGTCTGTTTCCCCAAATCATAATTTTCAAGGACCATGTCCAAAATGTTTGGGGATAGTGAATGAGGACTGGGAAGCTAATACAGCCAAGGGGGAATTTGATATTAACATTCTCCTATCTTTTATGCTATCACCACCATGATTAGTAAAATCATTATATTATTATTAATATTGATACCTTCTCAGGGAAGTTGGGAAATGTCCTTTCTGGATGATACACATTTCTATTCATGGATCTACAGTTGTTTGAGATGGATCGAGCTAAGTCCATTCATTCTTTCTATAGGTAATTCAATGTGGAAATTGAAATTCACTCTTTGCCACCATGCGATCCGACAACTTTCTTTTTGGTCTCATTGTGATACATATTTCCATGTAAAACCTCAAAGACTGCTAAACTAAGAGTGTGTAATCAGAAAGTCACCCGCCCCTCCCTTCTTTTAACAATACAAGAAAACAAAAACAACTATGTGAATCCATCAGCGAGGCCATTTAATCCATACCAACAGTGTGTCCTGTCAAGAATGCCGCCTTTTAAATAGCATGTTGAAGATGTGCAAAATACGGGCCTATTTTTGTCCTCCCGAATTGTTTTACTTGAAGCCGAATTCAATTTGCGTCTATTTTCCGTGCAACACCTTATGTCCCCCTTCAATGCAAAGTATAAATAATGTCTGCACGACCAGGAGCTAAGTTTAAAACAGTTCTTAGAAAAAAGAAAAAAAAAAGAAATAAAGAAAGAAAAGAAAAATAGACAAAATGTCTCACTGTATTTGAGAAATACCCCCAGATGGTCATAGACATAAATCAGAAACCCTTGCATTCCCCTCCTGCACTTCCACTCCTCATCTCTCTGGTGTTGTAGGTGCACTGCTAATGAATCTCCTTTTTTTTTTTTTTTTTTCTTCATCTTCTTTCTTTCTTTTCTTTTTTCTTTCTTTCTTTTTTTTTTTCTTTTTTTTTCAAGTTATAGTCGTACTGTTTGCAGCCCTGAAAAGACAGCGGAAGAAAGAACCGCTGATCTTGTCCAAGGAGGACATCAGGGACAACATCGTGAGCTACAACGACGAGGGCGGCGGGGAGGAGGACACCCAGGCCTTCGACATCGGCACCCTGCGCAACCCCGCGGCCGTGGAGGAGAAGAAGCTCCGGCGGGATATTATTCCCGAGACGTTGTTTATCCCTCGGAGGACTCCCACGGCTCCCGACAACACGGACGTGCGGGATTTCATCCACGAGAGGCTCAAGGAGCACGACCTGGACCCCACGGCGCCGCCCTACGACTCGCTGGCCACCTACGCCTACGAGGGCACCGACTCGCTGGCCGACTCGCTGAGCTCGCTGGAGTCCGCCACCACGGACAGCGACCAGAACTACGACTACCTGCGCGAGTGGGGCCCGCGGTTCCACAAGCTGGCGGAGATGTACGGCGGCGGGGACAGCGACCGGGACTCCTGACCTGGGCGCGGCCCGTCCACTAGCCCACAGTCCGGAGAAGCATCCTGCCACTCAGCACACGATTTTTTTTTTTTTTTTTGTCCCAAGGACTTCTTCATCTGTTCATTCATGACCTTGATCTTTTTCTTTATTTTTTCCCCCCCTCCTTGTAGGATGTCTCCACGGAATTGTCTACGAAATTTTCTTTAATCACTTCCAAGAGCCAAAGCTATGGAAATTCAGTGTTGTCCATCTTAGAAATAAAAGATGATCTCAGAAACACGAACAGGATAGTTCTCCCTTGAGCCACCTCACACACAAGCCGCTTCTGTTTAGATACACATCCTGCCCCCTGCCAATGAAGCTTTTTAAAAAGGTGAAGAAGAAAAAAAAAAAAAAGAATTTTAAGGCATATCCTGTTCTGTACATTAAGTTAAAAAGAAAACAAAAACAAAACGTATATGTGGTGTCAGTAGGTGTGATTTGCAACCTGGTATATACAAACGTTTGTGCAATTTCATTTCATCAAATTCTATCTGCTAATGTTTTATATTTATATTTTTGTATTTATTTTTAAAAAAAATAAACAAGTTTTTACAACTACCGTGTCTCCAGCTTCATTTTTTTCCCTAGGAAGAAACAGTTTCTCCCTGTACTATCTTGGTACAAAATGATGTTGAATGCAGGTAAGGGCACAAAATCATTACGGCGATTTAGGTAAGAATTTTTTTTTCAGTGAGTTTTTGTTTTCTGATATGTGAAAAACCTGTCATATTAAAAGTAATGGTCATATAGAGAGCACTTAAAAATTATCAATTAAGCCAATTTAAAACATGGCCATCCTTATGCTAATTATCCCAACATATCAGCAATATGGTAATTTCTTTTTGTTCATATTCACTTAAGTAGTATCTGAAAGAATATAACATTTTCTTATTTTTGTATGACATTTGTGCTACTGAGGGCTATAGGTAATAATAGTTCAGACAGATTTCAGACTGAAATAATCCTGTAATGGAAAATATACTTACCTCTCATGATGACTTCGAAAATGCCTAGTAATGACAGTAATAATGCTGAATATTCCATTAAGGCACAGCATTGTGATTATGTCAAGTTTTCAAAAGTGCATTATATATTTACTTGTAATTAAGTCTGGTTTTCTGTCAATGAATGATTCAGTAGAAAAGGGGGAAAAAAAAAGTACTGGCAGTTAATTATCTGGAGTTCCTGAGATTCACAGAGGCCAACTGCACCAACTGATCTCTTGTTTCTCAAGCTTCAAATATGATTTATTTATAAATGGAACGCTCTGTACGGCCTACACTAGGAAGTCGCATTCCCTGCTGAGTATATCATAAACAATACCAAAGATTTGTGTGCTTTCAAATTAATGAAAATGCTATGCTTTTGGAGTGAGAGTACAATATTGACATATCTTTAATGCAGATTTATTTATTTCACTCTTCTTGAATGAATCCCCCCACCTCCAAGTTCCAGGGTGAAAAGGCACACATTTTTCTGACTACAGACATTTCAGTTTGCATGGTAATATAATTATAAAAGAAAAACAACCCACGTGGTCCAGTTAAAATTAGTCACATTAAAAGGCTAACACATCAAATCATAGTAAAACTTAACTTGTTTGACTCATATTCTAGGAACCCATTTGTATAACCAGAAGGCGGACTGTTAAAAGGACAGAGTTTAAGGTGAAAAAAAAAATTGAACTGAAGGAAGAGAAAACCCTCAATAGCCTGGCATTATTCATTCAAATAAAATAAAAAAATAAACGGAAAGGTTAAAAGAAGGTATAGCTTATGAACATTTCACATTAATTATGATTCAAAATGTAATATTCATTTGACTGAAAATTAGTTTAAAAATTTCCAGCATTAGTTATTTTTATTAATATTGCATATCAGTAATTGGAATTCTTTGAATGTTTTTAATTATCCTCAGTCAGAGTATTTCAAGCTGATATTAACTTGCTCTGTCACTTATTTTATCACTGGCTTTTAATGAATTTAAGAATTGTAGCAGTCATCTCTAATCATCCAATCAGGTTTCCAAAAAATTATCCTAAAGGAGATTGATTAACAGGTCTCTTCAGCAATAGAGGAACTATGTTGTTCAGAAATCATTTTTTTCAGAGTTCTGAAACAGTCCTTAGTTACAGATACCCTATTATTTTTTGATAATGAAAGTGATATGTTAAATTTCTTGGAGATCCTAAAATGACAAAGGGTCCCTCTACTGACCTGCTCAAACTCTCTTAAGAGTCCCCCGGTATGATGCTTTCCCAAAGAATGCCCAATATACAGATTATTCTATGTCTAATTTTTTTTTATATTGGAAATGAGGAAAATGACTCTAATTATCCTGTCGTTTAAGACATCAGATAACTGTGGGTCTTTCATCTATTCACCCATTTACTCCCTCATTCGTCAGACATTTTGAACACCTATTATAAAAATCAAAGGGTGTTCTAGACACTAGAGATGTAATAATAAATTGTATGTAAGTTTTATATGTTAATAATTCCTCTATGAGTGAAAATGAAAAAAAAAATATAACAGTTATAAAAACACTCCAAATTTGTTACTAAATATTTAGTAGTATTTTACTGTTCATACTTTTTTTAAACACAGAGAAAAATTATTGTCATCCTTTTTCATGTTTTATTTTTTTTAAGACTTTATTCACTTGACAGAGAGAGAGCAGAAGCAGGGGGAGAGGGAGAAACAGGCTCCCCGCTGGGCAAGGAGCCCAACGTGGGGCTGGATCCCAGGGTCCTGGGATCATGGCCTGAGCTGAAGGCAGACACTTACCAGACTGAACCACCCAGGCACCCCACTTTTTCATGTTTTAAATATTCAGATGAGTGAAATAAAATGATCTATAACCTTTGGTCGTTAGAAATCGTGATTAAGTCAATCAATTCTCATTGGTTTTAGCCTCAACAAAATAGCGAGGAAAAGTTTATGGAGAGATACATTAATGCTCTTAGGCTGAGATATCTCTATGTCAAATAGATACTGTCACACAAGTGCAAGAGTTCCAGAGGCTTATTGGTAGACTCAGTAAACATAGGTGCACAATAAACATAGGTGCTCCATAAACATAGAAATTATGAGTAATTAGATGCCTAAAATAGTCTAGAATAAAAGTTTTAGAAGCCCCTAACACTTAGGATTGAGAATTAGGAATATCTGGGTTCAGTGATCAACGCATCCACCTAAGTATCTATATGTAATACCCTCATGATGCCTCCCCTCTACTGTCTGTTGCCTGACACCCGCTGACCACAGGCTGCAGCTCCCTAGTCCCTGGAGGCACCCCTGGGCAGCACTGCAGGAATGCCTGGGCAAGCTCCTGGTAGCAGTAAATGAGTCTCCCTGGCTCAGATCTGCTGAAGTGAAGCCTTGTTCTCCATGGATCATCTGGCCAGCTGCTGGGACTCTTCCATTGCTTTGAAAGAGTTCAGTATTGGCTTATGGAGAGGGGTTCAGGGTGTCCACTTGGTCACCAAGTCATCCTGCAGGTCGTAAATAGTGTAAAACAGTGGCATCTGGTCACAAGGGCTGTGTTTCCCCTTTTACTCCAAAGTTATGTCCCAGTTCAAGACTTTATGGTCATTCTGGAACTTATTTATTTTTTTAAGATTTTATTTGTGTATTCATGAGAGACACAGAGAGAGAGAAAGGTAGAGACACAGGCAGAGGGAGAAGCAGGCTCCCTGTGGGGACACTGATGCGGGACTCGATCCCAGGACCCTGGGGTCACGACCTGAGCCAAAGGCAGATGCTCGACCACTGAGCCACCCAGGTGCTGCTGCACCCTACTTTTTCTTGTAAATCCCGCATTCAAAAGGTTGGATTTGTTTTGTTTTTAAAACATGCACTGGATCCCACCGCTTCTCACCATGTCCATTACTCTGCCCTAGATCTCCAACACCCCCTCTCCCAACTACTAGGAGTAGTTAACTTCCACCTTGGTCTCTCTGTTGTCACCTTCCCCATTACACTCTACTGTCAGCAATGGGATCTAAGAAATATTTTCAAAATGAATTTCCCATTTGGTTGTTCCTTGGTTCTAAACTCTGCTTTTCCCTTATTTTACTCAGAGTTGAAGGCAAAATCTTTCGGGTATCCTTAAGGCCTCTGCCAAGCCCTTTGACCTATTCACCCATCTATTTGCTGTGCTCCAACTACTGACAGTTGTTTCTCCTCACCTTCACGAGTTTACACTGACCATTTCTCTTCCCCAGCTTGTATCTACCTTGTTCAAAATCTTTATCAAATGCAAAACAAACAAGCAAACAAAAACAAAACAAAACAATCCTCTATTAAATGTTATTTTTAAATTAAGGTCTTAACACTGTCCACACGACTTGAAAATTACAGATTTTCCTATTGCTCTTCTACCGCATGTTTTCTCCCCGACACTACTACCCTTTTAGCATGCTATATGACTTACTTGTTTACTCTGATTACTTTCTGTCTCTCTCAAATAGAATGTAAAAATCAGGGGAGCATGGATTTTGTGTTTTCTTCCTTGTGATGCCCAATAAGCAGAAGTATGTCTGCTTAGGTGCTCAATAAACATCTTTTGGGAGAATTGATAAATATTGGACTATTGGATTTATCACGTATCATATTTAATTTTACATGCATGTGCATAGATATGCATATTATTTGCATATGATATTTCTGCTTCCTTCAGATAACAAATTACCCAAAGTTATGGAAAGAATCTCCATAACTTTTACGATCATTTACAAGAAAACTTTTTCCTTCCAGACTGATTCTGTACCGGGCCATCATTTTAAAGATAAATGCTAATTAGCCAATGATTATTTTGGCTAATTGCTTTAGGAAAGCAGAGATAAATCTTAAAGGACACACAAATCTGGGATCCCTGGGTGGCGCAGCGGTTTGGCGCCCGCCTTTGGCCCAGAGCGCGATCCTGGAGACCCGGGATCGAATCCCACGTCGGGCTCCCGGTGCATGGAGCCTGCTTCTCCCTCTCTCTCTCTCTCTCTGTGTGACTATCATAAATAAATAAAAAAAATTAAAAAAAAAGAACTGTTTAAAAAAAAAGGACACACAAATCTGAGAAAGTCAAAACATTGTTTCCAATGAAGGTACATTGCAAATGTGTTTGGAACATTTGTGAAGTGCCCCAAAATGATGAAAGAGGGAATTGACATAAAGTAAGTGATAGAAACATAGATGACTACTTTTTCAGGTTTGGTTCTGATGTGTTTGGAATTTAGGGACCTCGATAGTGCTATGGAAAGGTCATTTAAAGGGACTGTTGGTCAGGGAAGTTTTTGAAGAAGATTAAGATGAAAAAGAATGTTGAAGTGGAACCAAAGACCTTATATTTTCTTGATTATTTTTAGGAAATTTCTCTCATTGCAATTGCCAAAAACATACCAAGTTACCAATGTTCAATTAGGACAGCCTTCAGAGTTACCTAAGTAGGGACTCTAGGACAACCTTGAATCAGGAA